CATCCTCACTTAATACGCTCATGAGACAGGGTACGATATTGGCCGCCCTTGATGGACGGCCTTTGCCTATACGTGGCGGTCTCATCGAGCCAGTATAGCTGTGGATGGGACACATGTTGAGGCCGGCGTATTCAAAAATTACAAAAAGATTGAAACATGCAGAAACAGGTGGTTTTGACATGTCACTGACGTTAGCAAACACCGAAAAACCTTCAATAAATCTGAATACCGTTCAGCCAAGACTGAAAACCGTTCAATCTAATATACTCTAGTTAGATGAGGCATATGTTTGTACTCTGACACCTCAACTCATACTAACTAGGGGATTTAGCATTATACTTCGAAGTATGTGCACGCGGGGGTAGGACGAAGTCCCATGTTACAGGGTTACGGGAAGAAAATTTGCTTGAACGGTTTTCAGTCTTGGCTGAACAGTATCCAGATGTATTGAACGTTTTCCCACTCCGGAGTATACATTGTGACATGCCAAAACCTTCATGATTCAAACATTTTGTAACGCCTGCGTCAACAATGTCCCAACTGCAATGCTAAAATTACATTGTACTTCTCGCTTGTATGAGACTGCCATGTACAAGAAGGCCAACGAGGTCCACCAGTACATTGAAGGGACGGCCAATACCTTACACTGTCGCATGAATCTACGCAGTGAGGATGCCGCGTTCAAAGTCAGTCTGTCATTTCCAGCGTCGCATCAACATGGGACCGTCATTGGCTTGGCGGCGTGTTGGAGACTAAGACGGAGGAGGCTTCGGACACTTCCGACACAGCCTCACTTGAAGGTATCGAAGATGTCGTTATTAATTGAACGTCTCGCTAGTGCATACCGTACTCTGGGAAACAAAAGACCCCGAACCTGGCGCCGACCCTCATCGCAAACTCGGGGCGTCGTTCGTCCCATCGCCTGTCACGGCCACCACTTGGGGACCATGCGGATACACGTTCGACTGAATCAACCCAGACACCAGCGTGTACTTGTCCTTGGGACTCGACCGAGCCAACACGCGAAGCATGGGCCAGATCTTGTCAAACTCGTCCTGCTTGATGTTGCCGTTCGCGTCCAACACGCGAGCGCGGAACACGGACCCCTCCATCACCAGCGACCCGTCGTTGGGACTGATGATTCCGCACTTGAGCGCAATGGACTTGGCCGTCGCGATGTTGTCGCCAGTCACCATGCGCACGACAATACCCGCTTCGTTACACTGGCGAATGGATTCCGGCACTTCTTCACGCACCGGGTCTTCGATCCCGACGATGGAAATGCACGTCAGGTCCGTCTCAATCTCCTCGTCCGACCAGTTCTTGACCACTTCTGGGGTCACATCCACGTCACGGTACGCCAGACACAACGTGCGGTAGGCTTGCGACGCATACTTTTCGATGATGTCATTGTTGACAGCGTTGCGCTCCGTAGCGCCAAACGCGGACGTGGTCCCGTCCAAGTTGAGCTGCGGTTTCGAAGAAATGGGTCAAAGTTGAATCGCAAACATTTGGCGTTGATCTCTATGCGTTTCCTTGGACAGCAGAGTTTTATCATCGCGCTGTGGCTGAAGGAGGTTAACGTTACAGAGCATTCAGTGGTGATGGTGCTCTATGCAGTTGTGGCCGGCAGAATTACAAATTTAATTGAAATTTGTTGTAATTGCGTGTCACAATTGAAGATATTAGTTTTATTGGGCAAATCCCTGAAGACACACAGCTTACAAAACCACATGGCCTTTACATATGCATATTTTTGTAATGCTCAAGTGTACAGCTTACAAACTGGGTGTAGCTCCCTCAGATTCGATATTAATACTGTACTAACACGAAACCACAACATTTTTTCACGCCACTTCCTCTCCGTGATACGAACCCCAACTTATACTTCTAGTAACGAAGAACTAGTAAATGAAGTTCAGCAGAATCCTGATCAAATTGCTTCGCGTACCCCTACAGCTGTACCTAGGTACTAGTTAGTACTCCGGAGTATTCACCTCAGCCCCATTGGCAGAGAAACTGCCACACGGTAAACTGCAATACTGTATGCGACACTCATAGGCAAATAGTTCGGCCATGCACAGCATAGAGCGGTCTCCCCAAGATACAAGCCACCTCACATCAATGGATCAGGGAAAGGCATTCTTCAATTTCCAGTGTCCTCTCAACATGACATTGACTTTGAACGACTTGGTGCGTCTGGTTGAGACCCAGAAGGAGCGAGCTGCCGACACTCTCGCCCAACTTGGAGGCATCGAAGGTGTCGCGCAAGCGTTGAACGTCTCGCTGGAGCATGGTCTGGACAACAACAACGCTGCGGATCTGGCTTCTCGCGAACTCCACTACGGCAAAAACTACGTTGAGCCCGAGAAGCCAAAGACGATCTTCGAGCTCATGTGGCATGCCTTCCAAGACTTGACCATCATCATCCTGACCGTGGCCGGTTTCATTTCGCTGGTTCTGGGCTTCATTCCGTTTGCTGAGGACGAACCGACGAAGGAGGGCGGCCGTCGATTGGCTGGGGGGGGGGACCCGAGCGTGGCGTGGATCGAAGGCGCGTCGATCATCGTCGCCGTGCTGATCGTGGTGTTCGTGACGGCCATCAACGACTACCAAAAGGAAAAGCAGTTCCGCGCGCTGAACGCCATCAAGGAAGACGAGAAGATCAAAGTCATTCGCAACGGTGTGCCTGCTGAAGTGAGCAAGTTCAATTTGGTCGTGGGGGATATTGTCCGTGTGGACCTCGGCGACATCATCCCTGCGGACGGATTGGTGTTTGACGAAAGCGACCTCAGTTTGGACGAAAGTGCGATGACGGGCGAGTCCGACTTGCTCAAGAAGAACCGTCGATTGGCCCCCTTCTTGCTGTCGGGCACCAAAGTCATGGAAGGCGTGGGCAAGATGCTCGTCATTTG